GATATGAGATATATTACATAATATATTCATGTTAATTGTTAAGCTATGTAAATGTGTTGGTACTCAAAAATCTAGAAAGACTACTCTCTCCGTTTGCACCATCAATGTTTTGAACTGGAAGACAGTTGTGAGATGTAATTAGTTAGCTCTTACCCAAGACACTTTGAATTGGAACAAAATGAAGAATCATCTTTCTTTTTCTTAATAACCCAACCTTTGTTTTCCAGCCTTATCAGCTCTTACCCAAGACACTTTGTTGCAACTGTTGTTTATTAGCTCCTACTCCTGTGAATGTGAAAATTCAGGATAAGGCAAAAGCTCAAGAGGAGCAATAGCATAACACATTAGAGTACTTTTTTTTTTGGAAACTTGTGGCTTGATTAAGGTGAGGTTGTTGCCTTAATTGATTTGTTGAATATACAAAGTAAGCATGTTTGTAGTGTTTCTTTATAGTTCTGGTTTCAGTAAGGTAAAATCATTATCTGGGAAAATTTACCAGCAACTATATATAATCGGATAAATCTATAATATATATGGCTTACTTGTGCATACCCATTACCATCATTCAACAAGCTCATCACATTGGCCTTATGTTGTCAAGTATTTTTGACTCGGCCAATTTTAGGATCTTTGTTTTGTTGAATATTTACACAATTTCAAGAGAATTTCTATTTTAACAGAATTAAATTAGATTGAAGGTCTAATCAGGTGTCAAAGTGTGTTTTCGAAACCTGAAGAATAATGTTCTCCATATGGTAATTTGATCCCGAAGATGATCTTCAAAATCTTTAGCTTGACACAATTCTAGTTCCCAATCAATATGCATATTCTTTTATTGTCTTACAATACAAACATGCATAGTCAATTTCTTTATTGTGATCCTAGGCCTCTTATATCAATTTCTAGCAATATGTTGTATTTAATGTGTCTTCGTTTTAATTGATTTATTGTATGTTACACAATTTTCTTTTATCCAAGTAGATGCTCGGTGGTGGAAAGTTCAAGATTGGTTGGAAGATGTTCATGACTTTAAAAAGTCAAATGTTTGAAGATTTTCTCGGTAAATTTTGTACACTAACCTTTATCGTCGTTCCCACTAATGAAATAACAGTAAATCGCGTTTGCTTTTTTATAGACTACGGGCATTTTTTTGGCTTTCGGCCCCGAGCATCAGAAATCTCAAGACTGCCATGTTCCCAATCCTTTTCCAGAAAGAGTCTTAAAATGAGACACCAATTTTACCCAAATCCTTGCACACTCGTAAACTACCCCAAGCTCCCACTAAGCCAAGCCGACTACTAGAACTTTGATCACTCATACTTTATCAATGTGAATCTTCCGTCGGATGAAATACTTCAGAGTTTCCAACTAGAGAGTTTAGACATGCATCTATCGATGATGTAGTTTCAAGAATCAATTTCGTTAATTTATATCTCTATTTAAAGACACTTTAAAAGCAATTCAACAAATATAAAAATTAACGAGACCCAATATATATACATGACAATTTTGATTGTATTTAAGGAAATCTTTTTATTAAACACTACGATAACTTTGAAGTATCATACAAATGTACGAATGCCAAGTTTCTACCAAACCAAATCACTATTCTAAAAGGCTTGTCATTAACAACCGTTATGGTGCGCCATGGCTCAAGTCTTGTATTTCACACTACGTTAAGTGTTGGCACGTCACGGTCTAATTCGTAGTTTTATAACACGAGATATTCTTCATCTTTACCTTTCTAAAGTCTTATTTGTTACTTTTTTAATATGTAACTTAATTTTAATTGTTTATTATCGTTGACTCATTAAGTAATAGTACAAAAAACATATGTTTATATGTAATATTACATATGATTATAGACATTTGTTGTCATAAGTCACACTTCGAAAAACATCGTGACCTTATCATGGCTCCTAAGACTTGAGGTTTGGCTTCGTCGCCACACCATGCATCACAATATTTAGAATTTTGAATCAAACCAACCTATATGTAAATCAAACCATCAGTCGTACCAATTTAGTTGATACGAATTATAGTCTGATGGTGGTATCGTACCAAGTATGATACTTAGTTGATATGTATATACGTTATTGAAAGTCATGTACCATATTAGTATCATAATATCAACTTATTTGATTATCTATTAATTAAATTACTTAATAACAATATATATACTATCTTATTAAGCAAATTTAACAAAAGTCTTAAAGTCTTAAAATACTAAATGACCAAAATACCCTTTATACTCACTTTTTCATTTTTTCACTTTTTCACTTTTTCACCATCTCCTCTCCTCACATACACTCACCCCCTCACATACACTCATCATCTCACAACCGATTTTTTTAAAATTATAATTTTAAAATCACACTTTATACCCCTATAATTAATTAATTAATTTATTTACTTTACGTTCTTTACTTTTAAATGTTTCATTTTAAATTTTTATCAAATTAACATACATAATCGTATGTCAATTAAAACATATTTAAAAAGTACATTTTTATTTTTAACAAGTTACATCATTATAATCGTCTCGTTAATACCTTCGAAATGAGTCCAATGTTGAATAGTTTTTGACTTAATTATATTATTATATATTATATATATTGTGAAAAAATATTTGTAATATTTACGATTTATATTTTAATAGTTATTTATATATATATATATATACTATATATTTTGGGATTAGGCTGTCTAAATTTGCACTGTATAATATGTTATGAATTAATATGTTCTTGGGTTTTTTTGAAATATATATATACATGTATTAATTCAACTATAATCTGAGTTTCTGGACAAGAAAGAGGGTAAGCAGTTAAAATTTCATCTAAAACCCATCTTTTTTTGTCTTTTCATGGCTTATGATCTATCAAATTTGTAGTTTTCTTTATTGATTTTGAGTGTTTATCTTAAAACTGAAGTTTCTTGGTTCTTTGCTCTTGGTGTAAATCGAATAAATTTGTGGAGTCATTTAAATATGTTGGATTTTAAATATATTGAATTTTAAACTATCATATAATTTTTTTCATCGATAGTCTGTAATTGGAACCATAACTCATATTTATTCAAATTGTATTATTATGTAAAGACCAAGTGTAACCTATATCATCTTTAAATCTTATCTTATAAAACCATTGAAACTTCAAAATCGTTAAAATTCATGGCTCCCGCCGCATTGCGCGGATACACAACTAGTATATATATATATATATATTTGAAGTTGTGAATGCTTAAATCAACTGTATGTGGACGAGCAATAATTGTGTCCAAACTCCAAACTAATGCCCAATGCTTAGAATCCTAACATTTCAAAGACATTGTTCGCTGCTTTGGTTTTTAAACATCCTACGAAACACTCGCTTTTATTTAAGGGGTTGTTTATCAAACACTTACCTGATAAGTGTTTATCGATAAAATTTAACATTATTATTTACTTATCAGGTAAGATTTTAGTCCACAAAAAATACGTTGTATGCAACAATTTACCCAGTAAGCGTTTACCATGATAAGAGTCGCCGTCCTCACTTACCGGGTAAGACTTTTGATCTTTGTCTCGTTCTTACCGGATAAGATTCTTGATCTTTACCATATTCATCCGGTGAAGTAATATTACTTGGTAACTGGTAAGCGCTTACCAGATAAGAGTATGGTAAATGACCTATAAATGTTTGTATTAGTTTTCCATTTTTTATGTATTAAATATTAAACATTAGAACTCTAGTTTTATTGTTTAATATTTAAATAATCATAAGTATTATTTTTTGTAATTAAAAATCCTAAAACACAACATATATTATATGTTAACTTAAAATGTCACTTATATTTTGAATAAAATGACAAGTTTTCAAAACTATTATTTGAATTGATAAAGAATCGTAATCTACACAAAAATTGAAGCTACAAACAAATACATTTGGGTAGTCTCAAACTATTATAATTTTACATATGAATCATAATTTGTTTATACATGTTATCGGTGGAAAAAACTTAGATACCAGATATATCCTTACACAAAATATTAGGTTTATTTGATCTTAATGTAATTTCTAATTGTTAAATAGTCTTTCCATTTTATTTTTATTTGTTTTTATCTATACTATATTATAAAACATTTGATAAAAACTCTTAAAAACCGTTTTTTATACATGAAATATTTTTTGTTGATACATATTACTTAAAATTCAAGATTACAAGTAAATTATACGTAAATATAACTTATTAAAGCTTCATATTTGAATTCATGTAACTATTTGAATTCATGTAACTAACTGCAAATAAACATAATAAAATAAAAGATAAATATTTCATTTTAAATATAAAAAATCTAAAATATAATTA